GGTGATGCCCTCCGCATGACAGAACTGGCCAAACCGACCAGAGGCAAACTCGCCGCGACGATCACAGTGGAGACGTAGGATAGGGAGACAGGGGTGGACTCACGCAGCTAGGACCCACGAGATATAGTAAGAACGTCAGGCATGTCAGCCTTCCACTCCAGGGGAAACACCGTGGTGTAGTGCGTGTAGTCGTCGACAAGCACTAGAAAGCAGCGCTCCTGACGTAGCCCAGGGACGGGGGCTGGGCCCCAAACGTCCAGGTGCAGTGTCTGGAGTGGTGCAGTGGTAGGGGGGAGCGAGGAGGAGTGAGGAGCACGGCGCAGCCGGCCCTCGACGAAGGGCGTGCACAGCGGCACAAGCGAGGGAGGTAGGCCTAGGAACGACGCAGGGAGACCGAAGATAAGACAGTGATGGGACATATGACGCAGACGCGGGAGTGCCGTCCTCCCCTGCTCCCGCCGCCTCCTTCATCGTCGCTTGTTGTCGCTCCGCCTCCTCTCTCTGACTACCTTCATGCCGCTAGTCCTTTTGTTCCTCCATTCCTCGCCTCCCTTGTTTCCGAACCGTCTGTTCCTGTCTCGAGTCTTGACGCTCTTATTGCTGCCGTCGCTGACTTCGCCTCTACCCGCCGCCTTGACTATGCCACCGCTCTAGCCTCTGACCCTGCCCGTCCTCCGTCCGTCGTGGGTGTTCCTTCCCTTGGCAGTGATGTCTTAGAGGACCGGCAGGTTGAGCTTGCTTTCCTGTCCGAGGCCGTGCCTCATCTCTGCTCCATGCTGCTAGTCCCTGAGGGTGACCCAGATGCCTTTGACATCCCGACCCCTCGCACTTACGCTGAGGCGACCTCGGGATCCTGGGCCTCTCAGTGGATAGCTTCCATGGACGCGAAGATGGCATCTTGGAGATCCAACGGCACCTATGTTAACACAGTTCCCCCACCTTGGGTGAACGTAGTCAATGGCCAGTGGCTCTTCAAGGTGAAGCGTTCTCCTGGAGAGCCGCCGGTGTTCCAAGTGCGTTACGTTGTTAGAGTCTTCAGTAACCGCGAGGGTGTTGACTTCTTCCACACCTTCGCCCCGACCCGGAAGATGGCCACTCTTCGGGCGCTGCTACACGTTGCAACACAGTGCGACTACGAGCTGCACTCTCTCGAATTCTGCACAGCGTTTCTTCAAGGCAGACTGCACGAGCAGGTCTGCTTGCGTTGTCCACCAGGCTTTGCCGGCACCTTCGCCCCGGGGTCCCAGTGGCTCCTCCGATGCTCGGTCTACGGGCTGCGACAGGCGCCCCATGAGTGGCACGACACTTTGCGTGCTACGCATGCTGACTTGCAGTTCTTGTCGTCGTCCGCAGACCCCTCGCTCTTCGTTAGTGCCGGCCAGATTCTGTTCTATATCCTTGTCTACGTAGACGACTTGGTCTTTGCTACTGCAGACAGAGACGCACTGGCCTCTATGAAGGCTGAGCTGCTGAGGAGACACACCTGCACTAACCTAGGAAAGCTACCTTGACCTACAGATCTCCAGGGACAGAGCCGCGCGCACCATCACTCTTACACAGTCACACTTGGTGTGCCAGGTCCTGCAGAGGTTTGGTCTTTAGTTTTCCTCCGCACAGCCCACACCTCTGCCAGTAGATCACAGGCTCTCGGCTCCAGTCCCTAAGGAGTCTGTAGAGCCTAGTGGTCCTTATGCAGAGCTTGTGGGCTGCCTCATATACCTGATGACTTGCACTCGTCCAGATCTCGCATACCCTCTCAGCATCCTGGCTCACTTTGTGGCGACAGGCAGACACCGACCACAGCATTGGTCGGCCGCTAAGAGGGTTTTGCGTTATCTAGCAAGTACATCGGGCATGGGGCTAGTGCTAGGAGGATGCAGGCCGATGGTCCTTATAGAGCACAGAGACACTTCGTGGGCGGACAACGCTAAAACACTCAGGTCCTCGCAGGGCTACTGCTTTAGCCTTGGTGTAGGTGCTATCTCGTGGAGGTCCATCCGTTCGTCGTTTGTTGCCCAGTCTAGCTGTGAGGCTGAAATCTACACTGGTGCCATAGCGGCACAGGAGCTCCGCTGGCTGAATCTCTTGCTCACTGACTTAGGTAAGTGGCCTAGCTCTACCACGGTCCTGTACGCTGACAACAGGGCCATGATCCTCCTGTGTCAGGAGCCTCAACTGGAGGGCAGAGCGAGGGATGCAAGAAGACCTGCCCGTGCAGACTGCCTTAAAGAAACGATGTCGGGAAGTCGAGAGAGTGCAGCTCGTAGTCACGCTGTGCTGCTATGTGAAGCAGCACCCGAAGAGTTGTCATCTTGGGGTTGGGGCAAAGGTTTGAAAGAAGTTAACACCCTCGCGCTAACTGAAGCCTCTAGCAACTTAGCGCGCCTTGAACACCGGCGGCTCTCCAGGAGGGCGCTTCACCTTGAAGAGTCACCGGCCATCCACTACATTCACCTCAGGCGGGGAAACTGCCTCAACGTAGGTGCCGGTGGATCTCCAAGATGTCATCTCCGCGTCCATGGTAGCTATCCACTGAGAGGTCCAGGGTCCCGAGGTCACCTCAGCATAAGTGCGAGGGGTCGGGATGTCAAGGGCGTCTGGGTCACCCTCAGAGACTAGCAGCATGGAGCAGAGATGAGGCGCGACCTCGGACAAGAAAGAAAGCTCGTACTGTCGGTCCTCCAAGACGTCATTGCCAAGGACAGGAGCGCCCCCAATGGAGACCAGGGCAGTGGCGTAGTCAAGACGACAGGTAGAGGCAAAGTCAGTGACGGCAGCGACAAGAGCGACAAGACTGGAGACAGGAACAGACGGGTCGGTAACAAGAGAGTCGAGGACCTGAGGAACAAGAGGACTAGCAGCACGGAGGAAGTCAGGCAGGGAAGGCAGAGTGATAACCAGCGACGACGAAGGAGGCGACGGGAGGAGGGGAGGACGAGACGCGTGGGAACGAAGCAACATAGGGTGAGAGCACTGGACAGGAGAGACACGACGTGCACGAGAGGGACGGCGTGTGCAGAAGTGGGCGGAGGCGTCGGGTCAGGCGACACAGGAGGAGACACAGGAGGAGAGCGCGGGGGGAAATGAGCCGGAGACGAGTCTAGCCGAGGAAACACAGGACCGTAGACAGGCGAGGAAGGCGCAGGCAGGCGCTCTAGGGAGGGAAGACCGACGAGGCGAAGGGCGGACACCGGCGGCGATTGCTGCTACTGCTCTACACCGACAGCAAAACCTCCAGCTGCACCACGGCTACCTCTGGGACGCTCCACGACGGCACCCCCAGAACGAGAACCTTCTCAAGCACCGGTTCCATTCCCATGACAACCAGGACAAGCCACGGCAATACCCCCAGGACTAGCACCCTCCTCAACGCCCACACCCCTCGAGCTCAAAGACCTCTGCAGCGGCTGCTGCAGCGACGGCGGCGACTACTGCTGCGACTGCGACGGCGACTACGGCTGCTACAGCGGCGGCGGAGGAGAAGCAGGAGACACTGGGGCGGAGATAGGCGGCGAAGCCGAAGTCGCGGGGACCGAGAGGCAACCGGGAGACCTTGGTGGGGAAAGCGGGTGTAGAAAGAGATAGACTCGTCAAAAGTGACGTCACGAGAGTGAAAGAAACGGTGAGACAACGGGTCATAGAAGTGCCAATCAGAAACGTCAAGGGGGAAACCAAGCAAAACACAAGGGACGGTGCGGGCAGTGAGCTTGTCCGTGCCAGAGGCACGAACGTGAGCAAGAGAGTCCTAGACGTGGAACGCACACGCGTCACCAGGGAACACAGTCGAGAGAAGGGTCGACGAAATCTGCGACCGCTGGGAGTGCGGCAACAGATTAAACTGGTGAGCGGCGTAGCGAATAGCGAACGACCACTGAAAATGGGGTGCACCGGCATGGATCATGGAGGTATGAGCCACCTCCATGACCAAACTGATGCATCGCTCAGCGACCCCATTCTGTTGCGGGGAGTCCGGCAGGGTGTACGACTGGGTGATGCCCTCCGCACAACAGAATTGGCCAAGCCGACCGGAGGCGAACTCACCGTCACGGTCGAAGTGAAGATGCCGCACAGAGAGGCCACTGTGGACTCGCGCAGCTACGACCTCCGGGATAAGAATGTAGGGCATGTCGGCCTTACGCTTTAAGAGAAATACCGTGGTGTAGCGCGTGTAGTCGTCGACAAGCACTAGAAAATAGCGCTCTCGACGAGGCCCAGAGACGGAGGCTGGGCCCCAAACGTCTAGGTGCAGGATCTGGAGGGGCACAGTGGTAGGCGTAAGCGAGGAAGAGTGAGGAGCACGGCGCAACCGGCCCTCGGCGCAGGGCGTGCACGACAGCGCAGACGAGAGAGGTAGGGTAGGGAGCAACGCAGGGAGACCGAAGACAAGACCGTAATGGGACATGTAACGCAGTTGCGGGAGTGTTGGGTGACCTAAGCGGTGGTGCCACAGCAGCGACGGGTGGGTAAGCGACCGACACGAGCAAGCTGCAGCAACTTGGGAAGACGTGGCGACCTGGAGGGACGCTCCTACCAGAGGGGACGCGGTGCCTAGGGTGAACAGGCCAGACACGGGGTCCTGGAGGAACGTGGTAAGAGAGGCACCAGTGGCGGCCTCGGTACAGACTACGTACCGCTCGTGTCCAGGGAATGTAGTAGTGACGCCGAGGTCCTGAAGACAGCCGAAACCAACTAGGTTCCTGGAGAACGAGGGGACGTGCAGGCTTGTAAGAGAGCCCGAGGGAACCACCGGACAGGGAAGGGTACCGGAGGAGGGATCAGCAAGCGCTACAGCGGCAAGGGCAGCAAGCGGTGTGAGCGCAGTGTGGTCGCGAAAGAAACAGGCGGACGCACCAGAGTCTAGCGTGAACGAGAGCGCGGCGGTAGCGGTTGCAGAAGGAGCTAGGGTGGAGCCGAGGTTAATCAAGCCAGGTGGTCCTACGCTTGACGCAGCAGGGGAACCTAGACTACACCTAGGGGACACACATACACAAGGCAACACCGGATAATATGGTCCAGTCACACTAAAGTCATTAGCATACGTGCCATACAGAGCAGACCTAATCTGATCCATGTCAAGCTCAAAAACATGGATACGGCGACAAAATCATGGTGTACTAATCGGGGGGTTCTGACGCAGGGCCGAAGCGGAGATGGAAGAGTTCGTGCACATGGCGGTAGCAGCGGGCGACGGTGTGCCAGAGACGGTCGCGGACGGTGCCGCGGCGGGGGTTGGACTGAAGCTGGTACTGGCAAGTGTGACCACACTGGAGCCGCCACCGGACAACGAGCTGCGCGACCCACCACCACGACCAATACCACCAGCGCCGCCAGGCCACCACGGTGGCTGGGGTCCCCACGATGACTGCTGCTGCGGCTCCTGCTGCTCCGGGGCGTCAGCCTCGGTCCCCTCATCCGCACCACCGTCCCCGCCCCCACCTCCACCACCCTCACCATCCAAACCATCCCCACCATTCTTCCCTCCGCCACGCCCCCCCTTGGGGCGGCAGCCCCTATTCTGACGCGGCTGTGCAGAGGCCGCGGCGGCAGTCTCAGCAGTGGGGGTTGTCTCAACGACAACGGTTGAAACGTCAAAGTAAGTGCACTGAGAGGGAGCACAAGCCTGGAAGATAGGGACCGCCGTAGTACTGTTAGACTGAGCGATAGTGCACTGACGAGTCTCTATCGCGGACAGGGCTGTGACGAAGGCCGTAAGGGTGAGGTCACCAGGGTGCTAACTAAGGAAGTGGTCACGGGTTGTGGCTAGGCGCTCAGGAAGGCACATGGCAATGAGGTAAAGCGTAGTGCAAAGCAGCGGCGGGAAAGCAGTGAGCTGTGCCTTAGTGCTAGCAGCGTGGTAGCTAGTCTCAAGTGCACGGAGGTGAGTAGCGAGGTCGGCGATAGTGGTGAAGGATGCAAGTTCAGGGAACAGCATGGGGAGGATCAGGCAGCCGGCAGAGGCTGATGAGGGAATGGAATAGTGCGCAATGACTTCATCTATGTACTGTTTTGCGTTTGCTACAGCGGTAAAGCGGGGATGCTCAGACAGGGGGAGGGCGTGACTAATGGCAAGCTGTGCAACGGCGCCGCTCGACTCCCAGACAGCGCGGGCAAGTTCAGCAGCGGTAAAGGCCTCACGCTGAGCAGACGTGGGGGCGTCAGGGAGGGCAGCGGGTGTGGCGGGGCAGGGGAGCTTACCGTCGACATCCTGGCGGAGGTGGACGAGCCACGCCTCAAAATCAACGTCCCCACCCTCCGTGTCCAGGCGGAGCACTGAGTTCGCCATCACCACGGGTGCAGCAGCTGACTGCCGCTGACGAGGAGGGAGTGCGGAGGAGGGCGGTGGAGAGCAGTGATGAGCGATGGAGTGCGGTGAAGTGTGGTGGAGAGCGGTGGAGTGTGGTGAAAAGCGGTGGTGCCTGCTGGTGGGAGCGCCCGCTCAGAGGGGGAACCAATGCCTGTAAGTCAGTTCGGCTCGGCGGTAGGAAGGGCCGGGGCAAGCTGGGACCGACGGAGCTGTGGCCGGCGGAGTGGGGGCCAACGGAGCTGGGGCCGGTGGGAGCGTAGAGCCAAAACGGGGCAGGCAGGCACGGAGCCAGCGGCAAGTGGCTGGCGGACGCGGGGCCAGCGGGGTACACATTTTACTGCTATGTGAACTGAACGAAGGTGCTGCTGCACCTCACCCCTATCACTATAACCTTGCACTGCAGAGGTTGCTTATCAGTGATTTTCGTCTCCTTCCTCACCAGTCGACCCCCTTTGCTAGAACTCTACCGTCCACAGGAGCTGGTACCTCACGAACCGAAAAGGCTAAAGATGGGCTAACAATCAGAAGATCGTTCATGGATCCTCCCACAGATGGGTGCATGCATGCAGTAGACGTTCTCTTTTGATGCATTTTAGAGGAGCCCTTGTCAGTCTCTGTAAAAGAACTTCCATATCTCGCGCACGTTGGAGGAACCATCAGCAACCTCCTTCAGCAGATGACCGTGCAACTTTCCTGAACATATACATTCACATGCACATGGCGAGGCACATGGCGATGCACATGGCGATGCACATGGCGATGCACATGGCGATGCACATGGCGATGGACATGGCGATGCACATGGGGTGAGAAGGCAGGGGTGAGATGAGTAGAAATTACATGCCATCTTTTCCTGCTGGAGACACAGCAACAGCAGCCATCAACAGTGCATGCACATGCTGTGCGTGTGAAACAGGCAGCAAGGAGGGTAAAGGGCCAGACAGCACATGAGGGCAAAAAGCACTAGAATGGAGCGGTATGAGGCCGTCCTCACCCTCACCTTCTTTGTCCACAAGGCTCTTGAACTGCCGTGTGCCGCCGCCCACCCCGAAGTAGTGCTTCTTGCCCGCCACATACAGCACGCCGTGCGGCCGACGCAAGCACTGTGAGGGGGGGAAGCAGTGGGAAGAGAGTAAGGGAGATAAGGCGGGGTTGTGGTTTGTGAATAGACGTACAGCGTTCTGTTGAGGCGCCTCAGACACTGGCAAGGCAAGCAAGGCAGAGACAAGGAGGCGGGACTTGAGGGGGCTAAAACCAGTATAGCACTCTTTTTAAGTCAATTAAAAAACAGCGCAAGCACGCGAGAGACGGGGGGGAACTGAGGGGGCTATAACCAGACACAGCACTCCTTTTGCTGTCTGACAGTGGGGGGAAATCAGGGGAAAGAGCAGCGGAGGGAGATAGAGACATTGTGCCTAATGGACAGGCTGCGTGGAGACAGTGACGCCAGGTGGTGGCAAAGAGTAAGGAACGGCACCACTGCCCTCCTCCACGTTGCCAGGAAGGGAAGGCCTGTGGCCCCACCTTATTGACGAGCGCCAGCAGCTTGTCCATGGAGCGCGGCGAGTACACCGTCTCCGCCGTCAGTATCACGTCGTACCCGCCGCTGCTGCTGACCCCGCCCTCGTGAGCCAATGCCGCTGCACCACTAGGTGAAGCACAGAAGGACGGAGCGCCAGTTGCACCGTCCGATGGCATGCGGGTTCCAGCAGGGGGAGGCTGTATGTGAACCCTGGCATGCCTGTGCGGCTTGGCAGGACTGCTGTCAGCAGTACCAGTGGCTGTGGTGGCATCTGTGGCTGCGGTAGTAGCGGCAGCAGTAGCAGCCACAGCAGCAGCAGCATCAGCAAGTGGGGCAGCAGCAGCAGTGGATGGGCGGGGTGAGAGCGGCGAGGAGGGGGGGTGGGCGAGGGAGAGCAGCCCGTCCAAGGCGGACCAGTCGCCCGCGAAGAAGCGAGTACGCAGGTCAGGCAGGGGCGACTTGGGCGTGATGGGTGGGGACGAAGGGGAGGAGGGGCTGTCACTGCCCTCTGTGTGCGCGTGCGGGTGGGTGCGATGTGTGGCAGCAGCAGCGAGGTTGGCGTGCACGTTGGGGATGGTGAGGTTGAGCAGCACCTCGGGGTTGAAGTCCTGGAAGTGCGCGCACGCTGCGCCCTGCACACAGAGGCAGGGGGGAGGGCGGGGGAGGGAGACAAGGCGTGAGGGCGGCAGCAGAGCAGTGAGCGCGTGTGAGCAGGTTGGAGGGTGAAGGAGCCCCTCGGGGTAGTTGGAAGCCCTGGATGGATGTGCATGCACACCACGCCCTGGGGGTGCGGTTAGACGGACAGTGGCTCACCCAGCAAGACATGGCGATGCGTGGCAGAGCAGGCGTGTGCCGTGAAAAACACATCTCGGAACACTTTAGGGCTGACAGACGTGAGGGTCAAGAGCTTGGTAAGTGACGGTGCATCAAACAATGGGCATACGTGACAACATGCAGATGCGGTATTTGGCAGATGTGTCAACATGCAGACATGTCATGTGGTAGATGTGACAACAGGCAGACGTGGCATTTGGTAGATGTGACAACAGGCAGACGTAGCATTTGGTAGATGGGAAAGAAGCAGATGTGGAATGAGAGGCAGCATGAGAGGCGGTACGGGAGGTGGCATCACCTTGAGGCACGCGAGAATGCCGGGGAGGCCGTGACCGCACCCCAGCTGACGGGCGAGGCACGCACGAGAGGGAGGCAGCGAGCACAGTGGTGACGTGAGAGATGGGTGCAATGGGAGGATGGGCCCCGGTGTGCGCGGGTGAGGCGAACAGACTGCGAGTTCCGAACGCGGGAAACTAACAGAAGAGTGGAAACAAGGCAACCACAATATCACCACGCAGACAACCGCCAAGCAGACAAGCAGATAGGCAGACAGGCAGACACGCAGACAGGCAGACACGCAGACAAGCAGACACGCAGACAGGCAGACACGCAGACAGGCAGACATGCAGACAGGCAGACAGGCAGACAGGCAGACAGGCAGACAGGCAGACACGCAGACAGGCAGACAGGCAGACAGGCAGACACGCAGACAGGCAGACAAGCAGACACGCAGACAGGCAGACAGGCAGACACGCAGACAGGCAGACAAGCGGCTATCTTGCTCACGGCGCAGGTGGAGCAGCTAGAGTTGGTCGACTAGGGTTGGGTGGGAAGGCGTGCGGCACACCTCGAGCACGCGCTTGCGGCGGAAGGAGAGCGTGCCGTCGCGCATCTCCTGGCGCAGCGCCTCCATCAGGTCCACCGCCGCCTCCCACAGCTTGAAGCCCCCTGCCGCGTGGCACGTAGTGGTGCATGGCGGCACATGGTGGCACCGGCGTGTTGGATGTGCATGGGTGGGATGGCACCTACTACGTAACCCTCCCCCCCCTCCCTCCCCCCCTCCACATCCCCCTCCCCCCTTCCCCCTGCACCCCCTCTTTTCAAACACGCACACATGCATGCATGCACAGATGTAACCACAGACACACACATGCACAAAGCATGGTATGGCACAAACTGGTTTTCCTGCCAGCAGCATTGCTCACCTTCATATTTGCCCGGCACCAGGTCCGACGTGGTCCCCAGCAGCATGGTGGTGCTCGCCTTGCCCTGGCGGACACGCACCGAGGGGGGAGAAGGCAATTGTTGGGGCACGCGTTGGGCAGTGAGGAGGCGGGTACAGGGAGGAGAGGAGAGGGGCATCACTGGAATAATCGTCAGCAGGCTGTTGCGACTTATACTAGGCAGCTACATCCGATCTGCCTTCTACTAGACCACGTCAGCAGCACTCTCACCTCAGCCTGCTGCTCCTTCGCACATGCCTTATTCAATGTGATAGAAAGAACTTGACTGAATCTGAATCGAATCGGTGCCATTGACTCGCATTGACTGGGATTGACCGGCATTGACTGCGATTGACCTTAGTTGCACTATACACAATTTTTGCGTAGCGTATAGCGCATATACGCTATGCGCTATACGCTCGGCCAAACGTTTTAGGGCAGCCTGCGGAAGAAAACGCTTTTTTTCCCTGCGGTTCCGCGACATGGCGAATCTAACCACAATGCCGCAAAATCGTGACCCCCGACATTTTCGCCCAAAACCAACTTTCAACCAATTTCACCCACCACAGTGCAGCCCAATGTATTTAGAAAACCCCACCCCCTCTCTAGTGTGCTCCCCTCCCTCCCTCCCGCCAAAGGTTAACCCTAATTTAGCACGCGACATTTAGCAGCTGCATTCCCCAGCCCCTTTAGCTCGACTTCTAGCCTTCCAAGCGTAGTTCTAAGCTTTTATCATGGCGACCTCCCTGAGTGAGTCCTGCTGATGCTAGTGCTGCAGCCTTCAGATGGTGTTTTTTGGTTGATGTTGCGATGAAAAGGTATGCTCCACATCCCCTTCTCCCCCCCCCCCCCCCCCCCCTTTCCAGTTTTTTTACCCTGCCCGAAATGCTTTTTTGCCTGCTCGGACTAGCGTGTACGTAGCGTACACAGGGCCCCGAACAGAGCGTATCGTGCAACTAAGGCGCTGACCAGCATCGACTCTGACCTTGAGCAGCGTGAGGCCGCGGTCCAGCGTGACCACCTCCGTGGGGAAGGGCAGAAAGCTCACCGCCTGCCACGCACCGCACGCATGCGCCCGTGGGGAAGAGTGGGGGAGAGAAAGGAAGAGGACGGAAATGGGCGTGGCGCCCACGTGTGGAGTGATGGAATGATAGCCGGTGACAGGTGCAGCGAGGAGCGGAGGTGGTGAGGGGCAGCTGGCGGGATGGGGGGCCAGGTGAGGCTGCTTCCAGATACGAGAGAGAGGGAGGAGCAGCTGAACTGAGAATACAGTAGCTTTCGCCTCTAGCGCATATATTGAAAAGGGGCTGGGCAGCAAGCTTTGGTTGCGTGGAGCTTGAAGCACTGCATCCATGTGCGCCTCTGCTGGTCCAAGGGAAGACGCCTGGGAGGGGCGGGCAGCATTTGGTGCGGCCCGTAACTCGCTGGCACGGCGACGCGCTTTCACCTTGGCCAAACCAACCAAGCGCATGGCTGGCCCTAGCTGCTGCCAGTGCCTTGTGTCTTCTCCTAACGCCCCTCTTTATCTCTCTCGCTGCACCACTCTCCCTCTCATTGCAGCACCCAGCCTCCTCTCCCTGCACCCGCCCCCACCTTCCACTCCTGCACCCCCCTCTTCACGTCCCTTTGCCACACCGCCCCATCCGTCCCTCGCCTCCCTCCGCTCCTGTCCCGTCAGCCCTGCCCTCTTCCCCCGCGCAACCCACTCCCCAAGAACCGGCTCCCGTCATCCCCGATCCCCCCTCTCACTCCTCACTACTCCGCTCTCCCCAGAAATCCATTCTTCACGCCCCTCTCTTCCGCTCACCTCCGCGCGCCTCACTTCTCTCGCCACTGCCGCTGCTGCCTCCGCCCCCGCCTCGTCCCCGCGCTCCTCCTGCGGCGCACGGGGGTGGGGGGGAGAGAGACACGCGGGGCTTGGAGGGCGTGGAAGGGAGACGGGTGAGGCGGCAGATATAAGGCAACTGGTGTGAAGCGAGGGGAGAAGTAGGGAGGGGAAGAGAAAAGGCCGAAGAGAAAAAGCGGAGAAGCGGGGCGAGGGGAAGCGGGAGAGGAGAGGGGAGGGGGCAGAGGCTTGCGCGCGACGTTTTCATGTTTGGGAGGAGCTATCGGGTGTTGTTCGAGCGACACCATCTCAAATCGCTGGCCGCAGAATGCTCGATCTGCGCCTCGAGTATCAAACGCGCGCGAAAGGCGAGCTGTTCTCAAAACGCTACTCTTCGCACGATCATGCAAACGACAATGTGTTGACGGGCGAGCATTCGTGGCTCTGGGCGTCGACCAAGGCCACTAAGAGGGCGAAGACGCGCGGAATGAAGCGGTCTGCCGCGAATGATGCGAGCGCGCTTACCGCGTCCGCATTCCGCGTGAGGCGATCCAAGAAGCCCAAGGGCGCGGAGTCCATGGCGGCAGGGTGGTGCGCGGGAAAGAGAGACTGGAGCAACCACGACACCCACGCGATGCACCAGCACGAATACAGCGCCTGCAACAGACGCGCTCACCGTTGTTATGAATGAACAAGCAGAGTAGCGCGGAAATGAATGACGATACAAGGAACGGCAAGCCAAGATATAGGAACACCAGAGCTAGTCTAACCATGAGATGGGAAGGTTGGGGAAAGAGATCGAAGGGTATCGAAGTGACGAAGCGAGGCCCGGAGACCTTCCGAAGGTCTACCTAGAAGGTCTGGAGATGCCGAGGCGGTTCTGTCAGGAAGGTCCGGAACTGTCCCAAGGCTTGGCGTGTGTTCGAGCGTACACGATAGCAGTACCGCTCGGTAAGGAATGGAAAATTCCTTACACCACCCCCCCCCTTCGGCGAAGGTGATCTATATCAGCCACGTGCTTGCGGGCCAAATAATTCGCAAGTATCGAAGGCGACTGTATCTGGTCCGAGAGCACCCACGTGTCGTCCTCACTGGTACGATTGGTCCATCGTGTCAGAAAATCAACGTGTCGTCCTTGGCCGTCAATACGAATCCTGTGGCTCAAAATCTTCGAAGGCTCAATGGTCGTCTCTGCTGGTGGCCGTACATCCGGGAACAATCGCTGTCGGACGATGTCTGATGTGTCAGGTACGAAGGGTCACAACAGGCTTACGTGGAACTTGTTGTGAATACGCCAATCGTCAGGTAAGCGTAGCTGGGCGGTCACCGGCGTCACCATCTTCATGATCTTCAATTGGCCACAGGAACGTGGTCGTAATTTCATCGATAGTAGCAGCCGTAAATTCTTGGAGTCCAAAAGGACTAGGTGCCCTGCTGCCATTGTAATATACCGTCGATGTAAATCCGAATACCGTCGGGCAGTAGCGTTCGCCTTGCGAATAAGTTTGACAACTTTATCTCGGGCAATCTGTAATTCTTCGACGAACTGCTGCGACTGTGGTACTTGACTCTCAACGTTGGTGGAGATAGGTACAGTGGAGTCCATCCTGTAATTATGGTAAAATGGGGAGTGATTAGTCGTAGGAGAATTCCAACGTGGGAAGCGCGCCCTCCCATTTGTTTCGGTCGGGGAAGTTTGTCCGAATCAGCTCCTCCATCGTTTGGTTTGTCCTTTCTGTCTGATCGTCCGTTTGGGGATGATAAGCGGATGAAAATTGCAGACGCGTGCCGTACTAAACTTCTGATCTCGATCGCTAATGATTGCTGCTGGTATCCCGTGTAGGCGAACAACGGTCGAGATGAATAGTCGCGCGGTTTCTTCGCCTGTGATGGTTGTACGACATGGTGCGAAATGCGCCATTTTCGTCAATCTGTCGACGACAACCAGTAGTGCGTCGTTTCCGCTCGATCCGGACAGTAGACCTGTAACGAAATCCATCGTCACGAGTTGCCATGGGCGTTGAGGTGGCTCGAGGGGCTGCAACAGTCCTGTCGGTCGCTGATGTAATGATCTCATTCGCTGGCATATCGAACACACGGCCACGTAACGCTGCACGTCCGTCACCATATCTGGCCAGTAATAAAACCGCTGCAACGTCTTCAGAGTTTTATCAACCCCGAAATGTCCTGATAAATTCGAACTGTGGACTTCTTGAATTAGTAATTCGCAAAGTAGACGATAACTTGGGACCCGAATTCGATCCGTCCCGCTTCGTAGATAATAGACGCATTTCCGTGTAGTTATTTTGGAGATGGCCGTCATTTACGAAGTAGGGGTCGGTCGAATACCTGTGGGAAAATAGTCCACTCAGTAGCGGGTTGCTCTGGGCAACTAGTACTACTGCGAGTTGGGCAGACAGTCTGGAGAGGGCGTCTGCAATATTCATTGGCGGAAAGAATTGTCCGCATGTTTTGCAATTTTCAGAATTTTGGCCTTAATTGGAGGCCTTACCCACTATATGCAGGCCAATCTAGGGACACAAAACAATGCTTCACATTTGATGAAACTACTATCGTTAACAGTAAAAAGCAGACATAACCAATCACCGTGCATCCGGACAATTAGTTCCAGGCGGAGGCAGCAACTTGATCAACCCTTAAACTAGTACCTGGTCCACCGCCCTTTCGCCTTAATCACGGCATTCACCCTCCTGGGCATGCTGTCGATCAAATTGGTGCTCGCCTCTGATGGGATCTTCTCCCATTCCTCTTGTACACTCTCCCACAGGTCCACCATACCAGTGGGAGGTTTCTCATACTTAGCCAGCTCCCTTTTAAGATGAGCCCAAAGATGCTCAATGGGGTTCGACTTCCTGCCGGCCACTCCAGGACCCCAAACTCTTGCTCCTGAAGCCACTGCTGCACCACACGAGACTTATGCTTGGGGTCGTTATCATGCTGGAAGATCACATCCGAGGGGTTTAACGTGTAAAAGTCGATGGTATTCTTCAGCTCGTCCTGCAAAATGCTCAGATACAGCAGCCCGTCCATCCTACCATCAATTTTGCACATGAAACCCGGCCCCTCATACGTCATACAGCCCCAGATCATCAAGCCGCCGCCCCCGTGTTTGACGGTTTGCTTGATCTGGTGGTGTTGGAGGGTCGTACCTTCACGAACCCAGGCGTACGCGCGGCCGTCAGAGCAGAACCTACTGATCCTCATCTCATCTGACCAGATCACCCGTTTCCAATCCTCTATGGTCCAATCAGCGTGGGCCTGTGCGAACTCCAGCCTATCGCGGATATTTTTCTTCGAGAGTCGCGGCTTCTTAGGCTGCTGGACTGCGACAAGGCCGCTGGATTTGAGCGCATTATGCACCGTCCTAGGATGCACCGTAATGCCGTGCTGGGATTCGACGATCTGGGCTGCATGCCTCGAGGTTTTCGCCTCGCCGCTAGTAATCGCCCTGACGATCCCACGACGAATTCTATTCGTGACTATGCGTGGACGACCAGCAGTGGGCATTGAAGGACGCACATCCTTGCGACTAGACTCTGAAATCGCCTTGAGTCCAAGATCATGTAGTGTGCTTTTCCCCACGCCAAGCTCCTTCGCGATTCGCCTCGTGCTATACCCCCTACGCAACAGAGTTATGATCCGTGCGCGACGCGCCTCATCTATCGGTCTCATCTCGGCCTAGTCGAAGCCTCGGGTATAAACTCTTTCCTGACTAATCGAAAGTCACGGGAGAAACTATGGAGAGAATGCCGTACTCGAAAACAGATCTAGTCCGCTGCTTGGCCGAAACTGTCCGGATGCACTCACGCGACTCAAATCTTGTCCACGCTATAAGTGCGACCCCTTCAAATTGCAAAGGAGTTACCCCAATGCAACTTGCACTCGTTACTTACAACACAGCTTTGAAGATTCAGAGATACCTCGGTTAAAAGCATTCAAATCATTATTTGAACCTAAAAGTGGATTTTATCCGGGCAATACTTTCCGCCAGTGTTGTTGGCGCCCTTTTTGTACGTGATCTTGTACGTGAAGTTGGACTCCAGATATTCCAGCCAGCGTATCTGTCGCGGGTTGAGATTCGGCTGCGCTCTCAGCTAATGTAGGGATTTATGGTCGGTTCACACCGTCACGTCTGCTCCAGTCAGATAGCACCTCCATATTTTGAACGCATGGACAATCGTCAGCATCTCCTTATCGTGTAACGGGTAGTTGCGCTCAGCAGATTGTATTTTTCGAGACTCGTACGCGATTGGTTGAAGACCATTGCCGAAATCTAGCATGAGCACGGCTCCGATGGCGATGTCACTTGCGTCGATGATGACTTCGAAGGGTCGTTCCGGGTTAGCGATGCGAAGTACTGGTGGCAACAATAAAAGAGTTTTTAATGTTAAAGTGAACGAATAACAAGAACAATGACATACAAAGGAATATAACCTAGTGGGTTGTACTCCCTAAGGCATAACCCTGTACAGTCTATAACAACATACAAAGATATGTTTGACACACCCCCTAGACTGGATAGGGGCAGTGCCTGGTGAGAGAAAAGCAGCTCAGGGTGGCACTACTAGTCCAGCCTCTGAGGCAAGGGTCTAAAGACCAGTCAAACGAGTACAGACAAGGCAAGAGCAAGACCAAGGCGGCACTACTAGTCCAGCCACTGGGAAGAGGCCACAAGGCCAGTCAGGGTAATACATATAAAGGTCTGTACACAATCAAGATCCTAGCAAGTGAGAGGCTACAGGAATGAGACTTAGCTGTACACAGTGCCGCTGATGATCTTTAGGCACAAGCACCTTAGTAAAGATATCAGCCGTGTTGGCACCGGAGGCCAAGTGTTCTACGTGGGCCTGGCGACGCTGCTATAGCTCGCGCACGAGGAAGTACCGCAGCTGGATGTGCTTCGTTGTGCCCTCAAGTCGTGGCTCCTGACACGGGAGGATCATGGACCTGTTGTCAGAGTACAGAACCAGGGCAGAGCTAGGCCGCTGACCCAGGTCGGTGAGCAAGAAGGCCAGCCAGCGGAGCTCCAGTGCCGCCATGGCACCAGCGTAGATCTCAGCCTCACTGCTAGGTTAACGTTTCCTTGAGTTAAAACCATATTTTCAGGTTGCTCGATAGAATTTTCGTCGTCGTCGTCGTCGAAATCTGATTCTGTTGCATGAACTTTTGTAACGCAGCTGAAGACTTGTTTCCCTGATGTGGCAGGAGTTGTTGCCGGTGGATTCTGCTTCATGGGTTGCTTGAACTACTGCGACGGCTGCTGTCCTCCTCTTTTTCTATCACCTTGAAGCTTGTTGCAAAATTTTACACTGTGTCCATCCTTTTTGCAGTAGTGGCAGAAGTATTTGTTGACGCGTTTCATAGGCGTTGTATAAAAACTGATGTTGACTGCTCCTTTCTTGTTACGTGCTGTTTGCAGGTCAAGATCATGCTGCTCTGCTTGAAGAATGGAGCATATTTGTGCTTCCGAAAGATTTGGTTGAAGGCGAAGAAGGGATTCACATTGTCGCCATTCTGGTCCAAGACTGGCAAGAAGGAGTGTTACAAACATGTCCTTTGGGAAGTATCCGCCGCACTTTTTGAATTGGTCACGAAGTGTTCGAGCCCTGTTGACATAATCCGAAACGTTCTCGTTGCCCTGCATCTGTACAGTTGTCAGTTGTGAGAGAGTTTTACTCACGGAAATTGTATCCTGTGCCATATACAGCCCCTTCAAATGTGTCCACGCAGATTCTGCTGGAGTCAGACTGGTGTGAAGAGAGCGAATACCGAGCTGCTCCTTCAGCGACAGATTGTTGATAAGGACGGTGTAAGTGCAAAGTGAAGTATGAAGAAAGCTCTGTTGTTCCATCTGTGTTCCCGTAACAGGATAAAGGTAATCGCCACTGAAGAACGGCCACAATCCAACGGATTTCGTGAGAAGTTCGAATTCGAAGCTCCAGGCGTAGAAGTCAACGCCATTAAAAGGTACAGTTGTCTTTATCTGTGTGTTGCTTAAAAGATTCGGTGCTTGAAAGACTGGACCAGTGAGAGTAGTCTGCTGCTGCTGAGCAAACAGCTGTTACGGTTGCTGTTGTTGCTGTTGTTGCTGAAATTGTTGTTGCGCTTGCTGCTGTTGTTGAAGAAAATGAAATTGTTGTTGTTGAGCATGTGTAAACGCAAACAAAGAACTGGAGCTTGGAGCGGCTGCAGCTCTTGCATAACTTGAACCGTCGATACTCATTCCACTAAAGGCCGCTGATATTGATGCTACTGCTTGTTGCTGTTGTGATGCAGGTGTAGAGGACGAAGTCCCCAGTGGATGCACAGAAGGCAAACCTTGCTGCTGTTGCGGCATCCCAATTGAAGAATAAGTAGGTGGAAAAATTCCAACTGCAGGATTTCCTGTTTGACCAGTGTTGATTGTAGGATTTGTAACACCCGTAGGTCCAGTTGTTGAAGAGCCAGATGATGGAACCGTCGATGGTCCTGTCATGATTGTCGATAGTCGAATTGACAAAAGTCTTAATTCCAGACAGCTCTCATACCATGAAAGAATTTGAAAAGTGGTGCAGGAGACTAAGTATAGAATCTGCAGACACAAGTACTTGAAGTAGAAAGTAATACCGTATTCTCCCGGAATTAAGCTCCCATGGGTGGCTTGAGCGGGTATGGGTGTTTAATTAAACTGGATCTAGTTACCACCCTACTTTTGGGCTTGAAAACAATTGAACACCCCACTTAGAATCCTTATTTTGACAGGGAACGACAGAATTTGCCGTGCATAGTTGCGTGCGTAAATGTGAGGGCGAGTGGGGGAAACGAGCTGGTGGTCAACCCGAATGTGTCGGAACGGAAAAAAAAAAATGTCGAAACCTCAAAATCCAAATTGTTCATTCTCGACTCTCATGCCTTCCCGCCAAAACAAACCTATGCTGCTGCCCACTGATTGGAGGCAGTAAGGACGAGGCCTGCAGCACTCGTTGATTGGCTGATTTGCCCAGCCTCGTCCTTGACTTGACTAGTTTAGCTGACGATGTGGCAAGCAGAAGGGCCACACTGTAGGGTACGCGATGAGGACACGAGATGTTGACATGTTACACAAAACAATGTGGTGTAACATGAACAACCATTTTGGAATTGAAAAACGCATATGCACGTTCCATAGAACCACTATTTTGCTGAAATGGTAGACTAGTAAGACAGCGGAAGTCTTAGAACTTGTAAAGTGTTGACCAGAATTTACTGAAGAACAAGTTGATAATTAAAATTGTATAAGCTACTTTTATATCTGCTAGAAGTACCTATTTGGTGACGTACCTGTTCGAGCTATTTGTGTTAAAAGGCTAGCTTAGCTAGGAAGCTAGGAAAGGCATGAGGTTTAGCAAGGAGGAGCCATGGAGTGGCATGAGGTTTAGGAAGGAGAAAATTTGAGGAGAGAAAAAGGGATTGGAATAGAAAGAGAGAGGCATACAAGGAGGGGATTGTACCCTCTACAGTAAAGTTTGGTAACCTACCAAGCCTAACAATTATATAACTCAATATATAATTTTAACACACCCCCTAGGCTTGGTAGTCACAAGCCCACACACACCCCCACACCCCCTAACCTAGCACCCCCATTCCCATCAGCCACAACTACTCCAACAGGGCCCACAAGGCCTTGGAGATGGCGGCGGCGGCAGTCCCGGCCGCGGCGACAGTGACGGCGACGACGGGCGTGCGGCGGCGAAAGGCCTGCGGCGACGAGAGCGGCGGCGGCGACGGCTTCTGCTCACGTACGATTTTACCACAACACTTCTAGCATATATAAAAGTAGTTTGTACAGTTTCAGTTATTAACTTGTTCTTGTATAAATTCTGGTCAACACTGTCAAACATGTGTATCTCCTGTGTTTGCATAGACTGTATAGGGCCATCTCTTAGAGGGTACAACACTTAGGTATATTCACCTGTACTCTCTCTCTACTCATCATTCAGTTCTCATTCTAACAAACACTTACACGTTCTAAGACTTCCGCTGTCTTACTAGTCTACCATTCCAGCAAAGATCCTTGTTCAAGTCTTGAAGTATCACAAGGCTGTAACACTGACTCTGGTGTTACAACTTGTTAATACTGGCTGTTACTGGAGGTACTACCAATATTACTTTCTACCAATGGCTGTTACTCCCTGGCTGTTACATCAATGAGCTCCCACCTCCCATTCAGGGACAAGCAATGCATGAATGAATGCAGTGAGCATCACTGTATACCTCGCCACACTGCCACTGCTATTGGGGCAACTCCAACCATGGAGCATCGCTGTCCTTCTCACTTTCCTCCACTTGCCCTAGCGCATCTTTGCCTTCCTCCCTCTCTGCCTCACTACCTCCCACCCCCTCCACAGCACTGCCTGCCTTACCCTCCACAGCGTTGCCCGCCTCCCCCTCCCCACCCCCCTCTACCTCCATACTCGCGCTGCGCTTTTTCCTCCTTGGCTTGCCGCCACTCGCTGCTCCCTCTGCCCCACCTGCCAGCTCTCCCTCTGCCCCCTCCACACGTGCCGCCCCCCCCGTGCCCTCACCCTCGTCTGCGCCGCTGCTGCCATCCGTGCTGCTGCCACCACCCGAGCGACGCCTGCCCCTCCGTGCCTTGCTTGCCTTCCCCTTCTCCCGCTCCTCTTCCCCACCCTGCTGCCCCTCCACTCCTACCCCAGGAGCTCCCCCTTCCAACACACTCCCAGAGCCTATCTCCCTCCAACCCCCCACCGAGCTAATTTTATCCCCGGCTGATGCCGCCACAGCAGCAGGAGCAGCAGCACGCACACCTGCAGCCCCTCCACTCGGCCCGTAGCCCTCCTCCTCGCTGCTGCTACCACTGTACCCCCCGTCACTGAAGTCACTCTCCGTGCTCTCACCCCCCTCGCGCCCTCCCCTGCCACCCTTCCGACCCTGCCGCCTCCCTGTCCCCTGCGCCGTGGGGCCGAAGGCGCCCTCAGCCTCCTCGTCCGCAGCCAGCATTGCCTGCAGCTCGCGCTCCTGCTGCTCCCGCCGCTGCCACTGCCGAGCCTCCTGCTCCCCTGCTGCCTGCGCCTGCTCTGCCTTTGTGCCTTCCTTGGCGCCCCGCTGTGCGAAAGCGGAGAGGTCGGCGGAGAGGTTGGAGGGGGGAGGCGGCGCGGGCGGCGGCGGCACGGGCGGCTGAAAGGAGTCGACGGCGGTGACGATGACCTCCGGGCGGCGGCTGCTGTGGCGCTGCACAGCCTTGCGGAGCACCTGCGCTATGGTGCGCTCCACCAGCGACAGCGACGCGTCCCTGTGGGGGGGGGGGGGGGGGAAGGGAGGACCATGGGGGGAGTGGAGGAGATGGGGATAAGGGGGGAGGAGAGGCGAGAGGGAGGAAAGAAGCAAGGTGCTGATGAGCAGGCATGAGGGTGGTGATTAGTGGGAGTGAGAGGCAGGGCGGAGCGGCACCTGTTGAGTTTCTTGAGTGCGCCCATGCCAGCGGCGTGCATCATCTCAGTGAGCTTGCCGCGGTCCACCCACAGGCAGCGCGTGCGGATCTGCAGGCGGCCGTGCAGCCCCCTGCGGTCGCCCTGGGAGTCGTCGTCCTCGTCGGCGTCCGTGAACACCTCCAGCAGGTCCTCGCCGGGCGGCTCGCGAAACACCTCCACGCTGCACGCAGGGCACGCGGTGGAGGCGGGGAGCGCGAGAGGGGGAGGAGGAGAGGCTGGGATGAGGAAGGTGGGGTGGTGCAGGCGTGGTGAGGTGTTGCTCGCTCCAAGAGGCGCAACTTGATCACTTGCTCCCTCTCGGTCCCGCACTATGTGTACGGTGCAATGGGCACTACCATACATACGTGCGGCAATTTTTATCTGCCTGTTACGCCGCAATGACTATCCCCATGCCTTCGTGGCGACGACTATCCCCATGCTTACGTGGCGATGACAATCCCCTCTGTTGCCACGTGCAGTCTCTCCCCAACAGCCATCTCCCGCGCATTGCCAAACGCGATGCCGCCGTCGTTGTACATGGTCTGATGCACGCATGTGAATGGGCGCATGTGAATGGGCGCACAACGCATGTGCATGGGCACACAACGCATGTGCATGGGCGCACAACGCATGTGCATGGGCACACAACGCATGTGCATGGGCACACAACGCATGTGCATGGGCACACAACGCATGTGAATGGGCGCACAACGCATGTGCATGGGCACACAACGCATGTGCATGAGCACACAACGCATGTGCATGGGCGCACAACGCATGTGCATGGGCACACAACGCATGTGCATGGGCACACAACGCATGTGCATGGGCACACAACGCATGTGCATGGGCACACAACGCATGTGAATGGGCGCACAACGCATGTGCATGGGCACACAACGCATGTGAATGGGCACACAACGCATGTGCATGAGCACACAACGCATGTGCATGGGCGCACAACGCATGTGCATGGGCACACAACGCATGTGCATGGGCACACAACGCATGTGCATGGGCACACAACGCATGTGCATGGGCACACAACGCATGTGCATGGGCACACAACGCATGTGCATGGGCACACAACGCATGTGAATGGGCGCACAACGCATGTGCATGGGCACACAACGCATGTGCATGGGCACACAACGCATGTGAATGGGCGCACAACGCATGTGCATGGGCACACAACGCATGTGCATGAGCACACAACGCATGTGCATGGGCGCACAACGCATGTGCATGGGCACACAACGCATGTGCATGGGCACACAACGCATGTGCATGGGCACACAACGCATGTGCATGGGCACACAACGCATGTGAATGGGCGCACAACGCATGTGCATGGGCACACAACGCATGTGAATGGGCGCACAACGCATGTGCATGAGCACACAACGCATGTGCATGGGCGCACAACGCATGTGCATGGGCACACAACGCATGTGCATGGGCACACAACGCATGTGCATGGGCACACAACGCATGTGCATGGGCACACAACGCATGTGCATGGGCACACAACGCATGTGAATGGGCGCACAACGCATGTGCATGGGCACACAACGCATGTGAATGGGCGCACAACGCAGGTGCATGAGCACACAACGCATGTGCATGGGCGCACAACGCATGTGCATGGGCACACAACGCATGTGCATGGGCACACAACGCATGTGCATGGGCACACAACGCATGTGCATGGGCACACAACGCATGTGCATGGGCACACAACGCATGTGCATGGGCACACAACGCATGTGCATGGGCGCACAACGCATGTGCATGGGCACACAACGCATGTGCATGAGCACACAACACATGTGCATGGGCGCACAACGCATGTGCATGGCACACAACGCATGTGCATGGGCCACACGCATGTGCATGGGCACACAACGCATGTGCATGGGCACACAACGCATGTGCATGGGCACACAACGCATGTGAATGGGCGCACAACGCATGTGCATGGGCACACAACGCATGTGAATGGGCGCACAACGCATGTGCATGAGCACACAACGCATGTGCATGGGCGCACAACGCATGTGCATGGGCGCACAGCGCATGTGCATGGGCACACAACGCATGTGCATGGGCACACAACGCATGTGCATGGGCACACAACGCATGTGCATGGGCACACAACGCATGTGAATGGGCGCATAACGCATGTGCATGGGCACACAACGCATGTGAATGGGCGCACAACGCATGTGCATGAGCACACAACGCATGTGCATGGGCGCACAACGCATGTGCATGGGCACACAACGCATGTGCATGGGCACACAACGCATGTGCATGGGCACACAACGCATGTGCATGGGCACACAACGCATGTGCATGGGCACACAACGCATGTGCATGAGCACACAACGCATGTGCATGGGCACACAACGCATGGGAATGGGCACACAACGCATGTGCATGAGCACACAACGCATGTGCATGGGCGCACAACGCATGTGCATGGGCACACAACGCATGTGCATGGGCACACAACGCATGTGCATGGGCACACAACGCATGTGCATGGGCACACAACGCATGTGCATGGGCACACAACGCATGTGCATGGGCACACAACGCATGTGCATGGGCACACAACGCATGTGCATGGGCACACAACGCATGTGCATGGGCACACAACGCATGTGCATGGGCACACAACGCATGTGATGCACACAACGCATGTGCATGGGCACAACAACGCATGTGCATGGCACACAACGCATGTGCATGGGCACACAACGCATGTGCATGGCACACAACGCAGTGCATGGGCACAAACGCATGTGCATGGGCACACAAACGCATGTGCATGGGCACACAACGCATGTGCATGGGCACACAACGCATGTGCATGGGCACACAACGCATGTGCATGGGCACACAACGCATGTGCATGGGCACACAACGCATGTGCATGGGCACACAACGCATGTGCATGGGCACACAACGCATGTGCATGGCACACAACGCATGTGCATGGGCACACAACGCATGTGCATGGGCACACAACGCATGTGCATGGGCACACAACGCATGTGCATGGGCACACAACGCATGTGCATGGGCACACAACGCATGTGCATGGGCACACAACGCATGTGCATGGGCACACAACGCATGTGCATGGGCACACAACGCATGTGCATGGGCACACACAACGCATGTGCATGGGCACACAACGCATGTGCATGGGCACACAACGCATGTGCATGGGCACACAACGCATGTGCATGGGCACACAACGCATGTGCATGGGCACACAACGCATGTGCATGGGCACACAACGCATGTGCATGGGCACACCAAACCGCATGTGCATGGCACACAACGCATGTGCATGGGCACACAACGCATGTGCATGGGCACACACACGCATGTGCATGGCACACAACGCATGTGCATGGGCACACAACGCATGTGCATGGGCACACAACGCATGTGCATGGGCACACAACGCATGTGCATGGGCACACAACGCATGTGCATGGGCACACAACGCACAACGCATGTGCATGGGCACACAACGCATGTGCATGGGGCAGCACAACGCATGTGCATGGGCACACAACGCATGTGCATGGGCACCAACGCATGTGCATGGCACACAACGCATGTGCATGGGCACACAACGCATGTGCATGGGCACACCAACGCATGTGCATGGCCCCCATGGCGCACACAACGCATGTGCATGGGCACACAACGCATGTGCATGGGCACACAACGCATGTGCATGGGCACACAACGCATGTGCATGGGCACACAACGCATGTGCATGGGCACACAACGCATGTGCATGGGCACACAACGCCATGTGCAATGGGCGCACAACGCATGTGCATGGCACACAACGCATGTGCATGGGCCACACGCATGTGCATGGGACACAACGCATGCATGGCACACAACGCATGTGCATGGGCCACAACGCATGTGCATGGCACACAACGCATGTGCATGGGCACACAACGCATGTGCATGGGCACACAACGCATGTGCATGGGCACACAACGCATGTGCATGGGCACACAACCATGTGCATGGCCACAACGCATGTGCATGGGCACACAACGCATGTGCATGGGCACACAACGCATGTGCATGGGCACACAACGCATGTGCAATGGGCACACAACGCATGTGCATGGGCACACAACGCATGTGCATGGGCACACAACGCATGTGCATGGGCACACAACGCATGTGCATGGGCCGCACAAACGCATGTGCATGGGCACACAACGCATGTGCATGGCCACAACGCATGTGATGGGCGCACAACGCATGTGCATGAGCACACAACGCATGTGCATGGGCGCACAACGCATGTGCATGGGCGCACAACGCATGTGCATGGGCACACAACGCATGTGCATGGGCACACAACGCATGTGCATGGCACAACGCATGTGCATGGGCACACAACGCATGTGCATGGGCACACAACGCATGTGCATGGGCACACAACGCATGTGCATGGGCACACAACGCATGTGCATGGGCACACAACGCATGTGCATGGGCACACAACGCATGTGCATGGGCACACAACGCATGTTGCATGGGCACACAACGCATGTGCATGGGCACACAACGACATGTGCATGGGCACACAACGCATGTGCATGGGCACACAACGCATGTGCATGGGCACACAACGCATTGCCCCCGCATGTGCATGGGCACACAACGCATGTGCATGGCACACAACGCATGTGCATGGGCACACAACGCATGTGCATGGGCACACAACGCATGTGCATGGGCACACAACGCATGTGCATGGGCGCACAACGCATGTGCATGGGCACACAACGCATGTGCATGGGCGCACAACGCATGTGCATGGGCACACAACGCATGTGCATGGGCACACAACGCATGTGCATGGGCACACAACGCATGTGCATGGGCACAACGCAACGCATGTGCATGGGCACACAACGCATGTGCATGGGCACACAACGCATGTGCATGACACACGCATGTGCATGGGCACACGCATGTGCATGGGCACACAACGCATGTGCATGGGCACACAACGCATGTGCATGGGCACACAACGCATGTGCATGGGCGCACAACGCATGTGCATGGGCACACAACGCATGTGCATGGGCCACAACGCATGTGCATGACCACAACGCATGTGCATGGGCGCACAACGCATGTGCATGGGCACACAACGCATGTGCATGGGCACACAACGCATGTGCATGGGCACACAACGCATGTGCATGGGCACACAACGCATGTGCATGGGCGCACAACGCATGTGCATGGGCACACAACGCATGTGATGGGCGCACAACGCATGTGCATGGGCACACAACGCATGTGCATGGGCACAACGCATGTGCATGGGCACACAACGCATGTGCATGGGCACACAACGCATGTGCATGGGCACACAACGCATGTGCATGGGCACACAACGCATGTGCATGGGCACACAACGCATGTGCATGGCACACAACGCATGTGCATGGGCACACAACGCATGTGCATGGGCACACAA